TCCCTATCTCTGTAACCCTCTCCGGCCTGTACACCCCCTCCCTATCTCTGTAACCCCCTCCGGCCCCTACACCCCCTCCCTATCTCTGTAACCCCCTCCGGCCCCTACACCCCTCCGGCCAACTACCCTCTCCGTGTGTGAAAACTGGCACCTTTTGGGGGGGTGGGTGTTACCTATATCCCAGTGAGGGAGTATGTATGGGGCTGGGAGAGGGAGCGGGTGTGAGTCAGTCGTGGGGTTGAGGGGGGTGCGGGTGGTGGTTGGAAATACCCTGTTTGCGGCAGAGCAAGTTTAACGTCTCGTGTTTCCATTTCCCATCACCCCCCTGCTCAGGAGGTTCACGGGGCACCTGGCCAAAACTGCAGGCCACGTCACCGCAGTGGACTTCATGGAGAAGTTTGTGACCAAGAACCGTGAGGTGAACGGCCACCGCGTCAACATCAGCTTCCTGCAGGCCGACATCACACAGCTGGAGTTACCGAGCAACAGGTCTGTTGGCCTAGGCTCCCATCACCACCGGCTAACCCTGGTGGTCGATCATCTCGTGGATCTTTTGGGGTTTTCCGGCATTTCTGAGCCTACCGTCGGGATTTCTCTGTCTCCCCGCCACCTCAGTGTTTGTTCTCCCACAGCGATAGATCCAGGAACATCAACAATCGGAGCAGGACGATGCCATTCAGCCCCTTCAGCTTGTCCTCTCCCCCCCCCCCCCCCCCCCCCCCCCCCCTCCCCCAGACCCTCACGTACTCTTCGGCCCCTTCAGCCCTAAGATCTACTTCCATCTCCTTCTCGAAAACATTCAATGTTTCGCCCCCAAACGCTTTCTGTGACAGAGAATCCCCCAGGTGCCCCCCCCCTACTTTCGGGGGGGGGTGGGGGAAGGACATTTCTCCTCAGCTCAGTCTGAAACGGCCCACCCCGTATCCGCAGACTGTGACCACCCCCCCGGGTCATGGGGAACATCCTTCCTGATTTGACCCTGTTTAGTCCTGTTAGAGTTTTCCGGGTTTTCCATGGGATCCCCCTCTCGTCCTTCCCAACTCCCGGAGAATATTGTCCTCACTGACCCGGTCCCTCACTCTCTCCATACGTCAGCCCCACCATCCCCTGGAATCCAGTCTGGGAAACCGTTCGCTGTACCCCCTGCATCACCAGGATGTCCTTCCCTCAGATAAGGAGACCAGGGCCGCGCACACAATGCCCTGGTGGGGGGGTTGGGGGGGTGCGGTCTCACTGAGGGCCCTATATAACTGCAGCGAGACACCCCCC